GGATGGTCTCACAGCCTGGCAGCGCACTTTTGCTCAATGCCTGATTCCCAGAGATCCTTCCGAGCCCTGCTGGGCCAGTGTCTAGGGCTCAGGCTTCAGGTCCACGCTCTGCGGGCGCAAAGCAGGAAGGACCAGGTGGGACAGCCCCTGCCTGACACAGACATGCAGACCCAGGCTTCCTACAGGCAGCTGGGCCCAGGCCCAGCCTGGCCTCTGCTCCAGGGAACGTGATTCATCCATGACATGCCCGGTGACACCTGAGCATGACCACACTCCCCCAGACCCACTGAGCACACTGCTCCCTGTGAATGCGGTTTCTGTCACACGGGATTCAATCATGGTGCTCCACAGCTAATTGGAAAGCAGGTTGTCTCCGATGCCCAACAGGAGCGGCTCTTGGTTGAGCACCTGGCTACCAGCCTTCCCCCCACCCCGGCCCCTGGGAGCCCTGCTGCATGGACCAGAGGCAGCCAGAGCAGAGCAAGTACGAGGCCAGCAAGTGGAGGGCGCCCCGGGACTGTTCCCAGGGACCTGGAGCTGCCACCAGTGCCCTGGTCACCCACAGCGTCCACCAGGGTCACCCCAGCCAGTGCAGACAGATGTCCTCAGGGCACAGCCAGACCTACCACAGGGCCTCCGAAGTGCCCCAGGGCCCAGCGTGTCTCTGGGGACCTGCAGGATGGCGGATTTCCATCTCCCACGTGATCCCAGGCGTGCATGCCTGATTCATTAAATGGACTCCCCCCTGACCCTGGAGCTCACTGATGTTTTGTTCCATTTCTTCCTCCTTCTGAATGCTGATTGTGAGCCACTGAATTACTTTCACGACCCACTAATGGGGTGACGACCTGCACTTGGAGAAGCGGTGATCTCGGAAATGCAAACGTCAGCATGCGCCCAGGTCCCCGTTGGGTTAATCAATGAATCCATTTATCACACTACTTATGCAGGCCAGACAAGGGCAGGGCTGGGGATACCAAAGCCCAGGGCTTGCCCTTGAGTGGCGCCCCCTCTGGGGACACAGAGAAATAATAGGTAACAGGCACAGCCGGGGTGGGGGGCAGAGGTGGCTGGAGGAGGGTTCTGACCCAGGCGTGGGCACTTGGACAGAGTCACCAGGCTTCCTAGGGTCAATTTATTAAAAAAGCCATCACCTCTTAGAAAATCAATTTATGAGGACAGGGTTCCTGGGGGGTTCATTTACCCCCTGTAAGGGTTGGGATGGGACGTGGAGTGGAATTACGAGCTTCAGTTCTACATTGTTGGGCTTGAGAGTCCCGGAGACCCCTGAGAGGCCTGGAAGCGGGGTTCGAGGCCCTGAATCTGTGGGAGCCGGGTCCTGCAGCTCCCAAGAGAACCCGATAGCCCATGCCCTGGCCCCGGCACAAGTGCTCTCAGGGTCTTCACCAACGCTGTCCAGGATGTGGGACAGAGGCCAGGCCACCTCCCTGGCCTTCCTGCTACCTGGCTACCATGGTCACTCAAGCTGACCAGCTGCGGCTTTCATGGCTGGAGCTCGTGGGCCTATGAGCCACAAGGAGTCACCAAGCAAGTTCACAAGGTGCTTCCCATAAATCGGACACTGGACAATCACAGTTCTTTCCACCACGAGTAGCTGGCCGGCAGCTTGTCCTTGGCAGTGCTGGCCTCGGCCTCACACCCCCAAGAGCAGGAGCAGGCCCAGGACCCCGAGGCCCAGTGTCGAGACACAGGGAGAGGGGCCAGGGGCCCTTGCCCTACTACTTGGTTTGTCAGTAGAGCCCCGTTAAAAGGAAGCAGCAGGTACGAGAAGAGGACACAGGCACGAGCAGCACGGGGCAGGGCGAGGCTGAGTCCCCACCATGGTGCACTACAGCCTGGCAGTGACGGTGCCTGCAGGGTCCACAGGGGCTGCTCCAGGAGGGCCTGCCTGTGTCACATGGCACCACAAAGGTGCGTGTGACCCCCCGCCCTGCTGCACAGCCGGGCGAGAGCAACGATATACAGCACATGGGCCTGAGGGCACAGAGGGCCAGCTGATACCAGGGCCTGCTGACTGTCCTTTTCTGGTGGCCTGGGGCAGCCGCTTCCACCCCACACTCCTGAGGAGGCCCCTGCATGCTGGGGGTACCTGAGCGCCAGCCCGGAGGTGCCACGGCGAGGCAGGGCTCCTGACCGCGTGGCTGGCTGGGAGCAGCTGCTTCAGACGAGGACACTAGGCAGAGTGGGGGTCACCACCCTTCAGAGTGCATGAAAGCCCCCCAGTGGCTCAGCTTGGAAGGGGCTTCTGTGTGCAGGGATCTCACCATAGTAAGCAGGTGACACTGACAGCCTTGAGTCGTGCTGCTGGTCTGCCTTGGGGACAGAGCTGGGCCAGGCTAAGGGCTATGACAGGTCTTGTCCCCTCCTGCTCCAGGTGAGTGACACCTTGTGGGAAAGTCAAGGACATCTGTAAAGCCGGTGCCCTGGGAGTGAGGCCCTTGCTGCCCAGGAGAAGGGCTCAGTAGGCAGCAAGGCAGGGGCGCCTTCCTCTCTGGGCCTTCAGCTGGTGGCTGGGCTTAGGACACTGATGCAATGGGCGTGCTCAGCAGGCTTAGCAGAGAGGCGACAGCTCCGCATATGGACCTGGAGTGGGAGTCTGCCTCCCAACCCCGGCTGCCACAGCCCAGGACGGCTGGACATGCAGCTTCTGGGATGGCAGGAAACTGCCACCCTTTGTGTCATTTTTCATGGCTTTGCCGTCCAGTGTGTGAGCATGGACTACAGGGGTTACAGCAGAATTCCCTGTGGGGAGGACACAGCCCTGCGCCGACCCGGCCTCCTGTGCCATCCGCACACCCTGGAACCCGACCATGCTTTACACATGTGTGAGTGACCAACAACAGCGTCTGCACCTGCTGCAGTGGCTACTAAGCAGGCCTGCGAGGCTTCCGACGTCATTACTAAATGTGGGCTTGCAGGGTTATAGCGAAACCATTACAGTGAAAGTAGCACGAGTTATGGACTTATAGGGGCCTAAGACAAGTCTCCTTCATGCACGGGCCAGGCCAGCCAAGAGAGCACACGCCCGGGCCTTGGCGGCAGGAACCATGATGGAGCTTCGGGCACCAGGAGGGGCAGAGGCCACAGGCCAGGATGTTCTGAGGTGGCCCTGGCCTGCTGCATTCAGTGGACATCAACTGACCCCAGTGTCCCCAGGCACAGCAGAGCAGAGCCAGGAGGCAGGTGAGAGGAGGTGCCCACTCCTGCCGCACTGGGGCTGCTGAGGCCCCTGCCCTCATGTCATCTATTCAAGCCTGACCTGCCACCCCAGCTGGTTGGCCTTGTGACATCCCAAGCCTGGATCATAAGGTTCTAGAGGAGTCCCCTGCCCATCGTGCTCTGTACTTCAGGGTACAGAGTATGGCCTGTGTCCTCAGAGGGGCCAGAGGTGGTCACCCAGGCTTGGGGCCAGTTGTCACCCCCAGGCTCCATCTGGGAGGACATGGCCTCCCCAGGGCCACAGAGGCAAGGCTCCTGTCCAGTCTCACTTCCAAGCATGAATCTGGGGGCTGGGCTGGCAGCGCAGAGGCCCATCACGGTCACATGTGCTGAACAAGGGCTGCGTGCCTCTTCCCCAGGTGTCCAGATGCGGATGTCAGAGCCCTGAGCCTCTTGATGCTGTCACGGAAAGTACTTGCCTGGGCAGCCCTGGTACAAGAACCCCGACCCTCCAGGAGATCATCGCCCACCTCGGGAGCCGCCCAGCCAGCAGAGCCATGGCAGCGAGAAAGCTGGAAGAAGCTGCGGGTCCCTACAGCTGTGGGGCAGGACAGACCCTCGCCTCTGCCCGGCCACATTGGAGCCGGTGCAACGCGGGGCTGGGAGCCAGCTCGGGAAGCTCAGGCTGTCAGCTGCTTGGAAAGCCTGAGACCTGGTACTCTGTGCCGCTCCTGGACAGCCGAGCTCAGGAAGGGACATGCCGCTGGCCCTGGCTGCAGGAAGGCCAAGTTGCGCACGTTCCGCATAGAGCTGGCCTCAGGACAAGCTGCTGGACGCCGGGCTGCAGCCCTGGCCTCGGCTGTGGCTCGGGTTGGGGGTCGTGTGCTGCGGCATCACAGCTCTGTCCTGACGGCACTCAGAGGCATCTGCTTGCCCAGCCCGTGGGCCAGGTGACTGCAGGCCCCTCCCCGGCAGCCACAGCCAAGGGCCCCTCAGACACACGGCTAGCACAGCCTGTGCAGGTCTCCCATGGAAGGACCAGCAGAAGAGTGGGTGTTCTCCAGTCTTGTGGGTGGGCCGCAGCCTTGGCCTGAGCAAGCTCTGGGCCCTCACAGCCCCTTCTGTGGCCCTAGATCCATCACTCACAGAGCCTGGATTGGCAGGGGGACAAGAACCCAGCCTCTTGTCTACCATGAGGGGACAGCAAGGTGGGGGAGCCAGCCAGCAGAAGAGGTCAGCCGTGGACTCCAGCAGTGGGCCGCCCAGAGCTGCCCACATGGCCACTGCAAGGCAGTATGGCCCCCAGCACCAGAGGAGGGAATGTCAGAGAGAGGCTCCGCGAAGGACGAAAGCCGCCCACATGAAACACGGTCTGAGGACCAGATCAGCCCTGGTGTCTTTTGAGGAGCTGGCAGAGCGCCTGCTCAGTGGGAAGAGGAGGCACCGAGCGCGCAGAGGATCAGCAGGCAGCCACCAGGCCACACCTGGGGCAGCAGAACCCTCAGAGCCCAGCCCAGGTCCTGACGCTTTAGAGAGGTCCAGAAGCGCCTCCTCAGGTCAGGGGTTACATGACATGTCCCCCACACGTACCCCGATACCAAATACCCTCTCCAATGGGACAGCAGCCCCTGATGGTGTCCACTGCCCTGCCCCTGAGGCCACCAGCCAATGACCACTTGATCTGGGACAGGTTGCTGGGGTCGCAGTCCTCAGGTCAAAGTGGGGGGCAGAGGGGACGGGGTTCTGCTTGAGAAGCCATGCTGCCACCTGTCCCATCGGAGGCCCCTCCCGGCGCCCATGGCGGCGAGTGGGCCACGTACCGTGGTCGTCTTTATCCGCCCTCCAGGCTGTGTGCACGTCCAGCCGGACCGGTTGATGAGCAGGTCACAGCCCTCCCCCTCCAGGCAGGGGAGCATGTCACACCACTGCTTCGTTCTGATGATGCGTGCTGCAGAGAGAGGGAGGAGACAGTGGTCAGGGCTGCCTGCATGCACGGGGTCCCCGAGGCCTGAGTCCTGCGCCAGCTCTCAGTGCCTGGACACCACAGGGGCCCCTGGGCGGCTCAGGTGTGGCTGCACATGCCAGATTCAGTGGCCCCAGGGACAGGCAGGTAGGAAGGCTGGCCAGATACTCGTCCTCTAGATAGGAATTCACTTCCTGGGCCACACTTTGCTGGCCCATCGCCCACCAGCACGGAACAACCAAGGGCCACCGTGGCACCAGGCTGGGGGCCAGGAGCCAGGTGGGAAGGACCCAGTTGAACCCAGTGACTGTGTCCCTGTTCTGCAGGCACGTGCTGACCTAAGGCTTGGTCCTTGTGGCCACGGGGCAGGGCAGAGCTGGGCACTGGTGCGGGCCAGGTTGGTGGGAGGTGACCACTGACTCCCGCGAGCTTAGGGGCCTGGGGCCCAACTGACTTCTTCCAGACAGAAAATTACACGAGCTTCTTCCCTGGGCCTCCCGCCCCAGGCACAGGGAGCCCGGAGACAGCGCCGGCAGAGGAGGCCCTGGACACAGGGAGCCCACGGTGTGGCTGCAGGCCTAGCTTCGGCACTCCCTCTCAGAGCCTCCAAAGCCCTACTAGCGATTTCTCGGGTAGGTAACCATGCCGCCTCCTGCTGTATGGGCTTCTACCTCCCTCCCTGTCTGCTTACAGAAGCCCACAAACACCTGGAGTCCAGAGAGAAGCGTGCCCACCCCTGCTCGGAGCTGTTTCTGTCCAGCCCTAACTTACGCATGTGTACGCCTGCCTCTCCACAGTTCTGCCCCTAACTTCACCCGCAAGGTCAGAGAAAAGAGAAAACAGCATTTTACAAGGCAAACCCAACCACGAAGACCTGGGTCCATGCCACGTGAGGGGATAAACGTGACCAGCCTCCCCGCTTGGGCTCCCCCTTCCTGGGGCTTTGCCTGCTCTCTGCCCTGGTGCAGAGCCCTGGGAGGTGCCTGAGCCCCTGAGCCTGGCCACGCCCTCCCTGCAGAGACTCTGGCCCAGGAGAGGACAACCGCCCTCACCGCCAGGCTCCAGCTCCACTCCCTCTGGGAGTTTCCTTGGCTCCTGGCTCCCACCTGTCCTGGAAGTTCTTTTCTGTTTCACTTTTTTGTTTTTTTAAAAAATAAGCCACAGAACCCTCCATTTGCACAAACAAGTGGTGCAGCTCTGTAGGTCCAGCTAAAATCTCTCCTAGCGGGAGGGTCACTCTGCAAACGTCTGCAAACACCTGCGGCCCTGTTCAGGAACCCAGCAGACAGGCAGCCAGGGCCCCTCGCAGGAAGATGCTCTCTCTCCCCGTGCCTGGGAAGCCTCAGTTTCAGCAATCATTCCCGCAGCTCCACTTCACATGGAGTCCTGAGTCTGGCCCTGGACTCAGCAACCACCCCATAGGAGCAATGGGCAAAGGGTGACATGATCAGGGACACCGCCCAGCAGAAGCCTGGGGCCATTCCGTGCAGGGGAATCTGGGAGGTCACAGGTCAGCACAGGGGCAATGGGAGGGGCCTGGACTCCGCTGTGGGCCTGGGCAGATCTGCACAGAGCATGGCACCCCAAGCTAGGTGAGCTACGCCTAGCAGGCGCAGCAGAGTACCTGTGGGTGTGCTGCCCGCCCCGCCCTGGCACCCTCAGGCCTGCAGCCCTTTCCAGGCCCTGCTGTGCACCGAGTGCACACTGGTGTGCTGAAGCCCAGTGCCTTCAGTGTGGAGACAGGGCTTTGGGAAGTCACCAAGGCCACCAGGGTCTGAGACCTGAGAGATGGGACCGATGCCTCCTGAGAAACACCAGAGTCCCCCACCTGCCTGTCACCCTGGGGACACGGTCAGGCCACCGTCGCAGGCTGGGAAGGGCAGGAAACCAGCCCGGGCCTTGCCTTCATCTCCAGAGCAATTGCTCGTGCCCTGCCTGAGGGTTTCACCCAGCAGCCTGAGCTGAGAGGAACGTGGGACCCGGGCCTGACACTTCAGGTGGGCACACAGGCGTCCCCAGAGGGCAACAGGGAAGTGGGGCCCTGCTGCCTGCAGAGCTGGGGAAAGGGCTCCTGGCATCCTGGGGAGCCGCTCCAAGGACACAGCTGCCTCCAGCCTGCCCCCTGCCCAGGCGGTGCCCCCGCCAAGGGGCCAGGTGGTGCTGCACCCCTCTCCTGGCCGCCAGTTACTCCTGCAGTTGCCAGCCACCACCTCTCCCTTCCCGAATGTGTTAGTTATAATGAAAGATGGTACAGAAACCTTTCCTAAACCTGTGAGTAAGATACAGTGTTCTCATGCAAACCCCGCACCCCACGCACTTTATGTGTGGTGTCTGAGGTTCCCCAAGCAAATTACAGTGACCGTGTGTGTGTGTGTGTGTGTGTGTGTGTGCATGCCTGCATCCAGGTGGTGTCGGAAGGGCTCTAGGGGACCTGCAGGAACCCACCTAGTCCCTGTGAACAACCCCAAGGAGGTGCCCGGCACAGCCTGGCCCCCTGCATCCTGAGCCTCAGAGGGCCCCAGGGCCCCAGGGCCGGCTCCTCCTCCCTACTCGGACTAGGAGCTCTGCAGTCAGTGAAGGGCACTTCCAGCCCCAAGAGCTGCAGCGCAGCTGCACACAGCAGGCCCAGTTGTCCAGCCAGTAGCCCAGACCATGCTCCAGGGCCTGGGCCCTCACACACCCCTACCTGAGTGCCAAGGTGGGGGCCGAGCAGGGGCCCCAGGCCATGGGGAGCCCAAGAACTGGATGTGACATGACAAGTGCGGTGCTTGCATCAGGCTGGGACGGAAGGACCAGGGTGGGCCTGGGGCCTCCGTCAGGGCGGAGATGAGGGCTGCCGCGCCGCAGCTAGAGTGCCTGGCCACACACGGCACCCGCCCCCAGGCTGGAGTGTGCACTGACACACCTGTGCACACACAAGCACACACGCATAGGCTGTGCGCCCCCACCAGCACACTCAGGCCTACCACTCTGGGCACTCAGGAGCCTGCTCATTGGAGGGGGAATCGAAAGCGCTGGCCCCGCCCGGTCTCCAGACCCTGGCAACACTGGCCACAGTGCTGAAAACTCAAGTCCTTTGCAGGCCACAGACAGCCATACCTGGCCCAACCACTTCCTGCCAGAGGCAGTGGGAGGCACAGCACTGGCCACCAGGTCTCAAGGACAAAGGGCTTTTCATGCCTGCGCTGCACAGCACCATTTCACGTGGGACATTGCTGAGCAATGTCACAGCAGCTTCAGGGGAGGTGAAGGATGTCCCCGGAGGTGGACGGCACTTCCTGAGGACACGAGGGATAGGCTGTTGGGGGCCCCATGGGGACACAGTCACAGCCTGAGATGTGGGATAGCCGCCATGCTCGCCCTGTGGGCAACTGTCAGGGATTGGCATCTCCCCTATCCTGTGTCTTCTCCGCCTGTCCTAACCTGGGGACAGAAGCCCCCTGGACACACCTGGAGGACAGAAGAGGGGAGCCCCATCCTCAGAGGAAAGAAGATTGCTGGGTGTGTCCATGGCTTTGGGGACAAAGTGAATGGGCTCTGGCAGGTCCGCACACCTCTACCACCACAGATAGGCCTCCCTGGAGATGCAGCCAGATGCCCTGCACAGCCCAGGACCTGGCCACGCTTGGCACGGCACACTAAGACACACACCCGCAGCACACGTGTCCATGTAGTGCGCGACAACACAGATATGCCCAGAGCCAAACATGCACGCAGGAACCACAAATGCACACCAGTGCTCACACCCACACACGTGCTCTCAGCACCTACGTCTGAGGCTGCAGCTGACCACGTGAGACCCCGCCCAGCCCTGCTGCACGCCCTCAGGTGCCGCCATCTATCCAGACCCTGGAGCTGGGAGGCGTTTCGGGCCAGTCGGCTTCCTGGCTGCTTCTAAGGGAGGGACAGCCACAGGGGCCCTGGAAATGGGCACAGAAGGCCGGCTTGCTTCTTTCTCCTGGTCCTGGTGGGCTCTACCACAGAGGTCTGAGGTCCGTGGCACGCTGAGCTTCCTTCTAAGTCTTCTCCGGTGGCCCCGGGCCCCTGGGGCTGCCGCTCTATGCCACTGGCCTTTCCGGAGCATGCGCCGTCAGCAGCAGTGACTAGAGCCAGGCAGATGCCCCTGCGCCTCCGAGGCTGTGCAGCCCTCCGGGGGTGAGCCCAGTGTGTGCCTGCACGCGCCGGCGTGGTGGGCGCGCATGTGTCGGAGACCACGCGCTTAATCGCACGAAGCAGGGGCCCTCCTCCTCCTGGGACCTGCGTTGAATTCCAGCAGGACTAGGCACCAGGACGTCACTGGGGGAAGCCAGGGTAGCCGGAGAGCAACCGACTGCCCTCTCCCTCCCTTCCCGCTCCCCGTCTGGGGCAGTTCATTAGCAGTAACGTGGCAGTAAATAGAAGATGAGATTTTTTTCTGTTCACAGTCCCTGCAATAACTGGATTCTTCCCGCTCAAAGCAGCGCCCGCTCACGCTGTAAAGCAAAGCTGTCCCCGGGCGGAAACCACAGCAGCGTAAGCAAGTTATCACGAACGAGTATGAAAAGCGCCCGTGGGATGGCGCCGAGTAAGACCGCAGGCTGGCGACCACGGACCGAGCCGCAGTTCGGGGCAAGCGCTCGGGCACCGCTCCCGCATGTGCGCAGGCGCCGCGGTGCACCAGGAGATGTGCGGGCAGCAGGTAGCGCCGGCACCCTGGGGCCCAATCCGGGTCCTGTGTCTCTGGGAAGCATCTGCCTTGTAAAATTAATGCTGCAAATTTAAATTTTATTGGTTTTGCAGTTTTGTTTGTGTTTAATTTGTAAATGGGTTTCGGTTCATTCCAGTTTTATGGTCTGGGAGGGCTCCATTTGTTCATATTGCTGCAAGACTGTAATCAAGGCAATGTAGGTCAGCGGTGGGCTGCAGGGTAGGAGGGAGCCTCTCCAAGGGGTCTGTGCCCCAGGCATCTGCCTGCTACCAGGCCACAGCAGGCTGGTCGGAGGCAA